AATCAGCAGAGAGACTCGTGTTGCTGTCATGCAAGGCATGTGGAACAGTTCTCAAAAAAGGTGCATCCCTGTGCTGGTTTTAGGGATTTCACAGGCTCAGATGTGGAGCTGTAGGATCCGATTGTGCCTTGAAACACGCATTTTGGTGTTTTATTTATTGGTTTTGTTGCCTTGAATAGATGACACTTAATTATAAGTATCACTGTAATATTCAGTTAATGCTATTATTAGGAATTTTGATGTGATTGTTGTGGAGTGTGTTTTAAATGTTACTGTTACCTAAAAATATGACTCTACTTTGAATACTTTGACATAAATGCAAATGTAATTATATATAGATGAATCCAAAATCTTTCCCATCCAGTTTCAGCTGATCTGATACAATGAACACCCACTTCAGAATGGAAAATAAATCTCCCATTGAGTATCTCTGAGGTGAACCAGTGCCCCAGAATTAATCCTTTGTCAAATTGTGATGAAATGCACAAAGTTGCAGGGCAGTGTTGAAGTATCGCTACACTTAATTCACTCCATGCAGTGCTGAATGCCAAACACTGAACTCAGCTCAATTCTGATGATCCTGCTGAGCTCAGCTGACAGTATGAGGGAACATGCTCATTGTTAGGCTGCTTTGAATACCAGTGTGTGTTGGGTATAGCCTTAACAGGAAAGGCCACCACTGCTGTAAATGCCTGCCAGGCTTAAGTACATCTTGAGTACTTCTCTGCTTTTTATTTGGCTTTACTTAAATCTGTGGTTCTTTACTCGATCTTAAGTCTTGTTTCCAGATTGACACTATGCCAGTTTCTTTGAGGGGAGCAAAGTCACGATAAGGTGGAGTAAAAGCACAAACCCAGTCAGTCCTGTGCCTGTCCTATGAGTGCGCTGTATAGCTCACTGTGATAGTGAGCTGCCCTGTCTTGTGCCATAGTGCTGCATCGCTCATCAGAGTGATTACACATCGGCACACTCATGTATGATTCCATCTCAGATAGACAAGAACAAAGTCAGTGCTCTAGGCTGCCACTTCTACCTTCAAAAGCTATACATTCTCTTTGCTGACTGTCTGTCTTTGGGGTTGTTTTCCTGTGGTCGGTCTCGCTTTCATCCTTATTTTTCCCTTCCCTCCCTCCTGCTCTCTTTTGTCTCTCTCTTGGTTTATCCATGCATCCATCATCTCTCCCTCCTCTCTTCTTCCATCCAACCCTCTGTGTCTCCCTCCTCTCTCCCTCTGAGGATTGGTGGGTGCTATTCTCCGTTTGTATTCCAAAGACTCTAAAGCTTTGTGTTTGCATTACCTGCTATTAACCTATTTTGTTTGGCTTTTTGTGTATAAAGTTCTGTTTTTCACTGAGCACAGCACTGGGATTAGGAGAGAGTGGTAGCTTTAAAATAATATGTCCAATAAGGCTACAGCTAAAATATATCCATTCCCTATCTGAGGAGGAAGTCACTCAGGATGTTGACCCCTAGGCTAAACAAGGGACACAGCCCAAGATATTCTTGCCTGCGCCAGAGACAGATCAAGCTTCTGTACACACTGAGCTCAGCCTTACATCCTTACACAACTAACACAAGTGTTATCTAAATATGAACTACATACTGTTCTATTACATATTACCTCTGGAATCTGGTTTATTTCTAACCACTACAGGTGTAAGGCTGAATTTACTAGATCAAGTAAAATTAAAACAAGATTATGGTGCTTGATGTAACAGTAGTGGTTTTGACTGGCCATTGCGTTGAATAATTTGACTTCTTGTGCAGCGAGTGCAATGACCTGGCCCTAAAAAGGTGTTAATAATACAACACTAAGTAGAAGAAAAAAGCATCAGACACATTTTGTCCTTACTTACCTCAGGGCTGGTTGTATAACACGTAACTCTGTCTTCCGTCTGACTGTTTTTCATTAAGTGACTTCTGGCATTTAGCTAATTTATCAAGTGCCTTTTAGATCATAAATTATATTGTGGTACTCATTCAAATTCTCAAAAAGGCCTAGAAGACTTTTAAATAAAGTCTAGTGCCTAGCAGCTTAGAAATAAGACCAATTAGGCAGATCTGCTCTCTGAGAGAACTCTTTTCATTTTCATTTCAGATGTGACATATGTCATACATTTTAATTCCAAATGGCATTTGCCTTGATCAAACTTTAAAAAAAACTTTAAAACAGAGAAACTGAAAATCTCAAGTTGCTGTAAGTGATTTATGAAGTAGAACATAACATAATTTGTCCCTCACAATGGGTGGAGCCACCAAAAACTATAGGGTGTGTGTGTGTGTGTGTGTGTGTGTGTGTGTGTATGTGCACGCACCGAGCTGGTTGGTGTTGAGCAACCAAGGCACATACCAAGGGAAGCCATGAATCTGCACCCTTGATGTTTTAAACTCGCTGCCCTCTGCTCTATGCCTTACCATCCGTTACAGTGTTCCAGCTTTCTGCAACAAATCTAGACTGTGGCAAGTCCACTAATTCTTCCCAACAGTTCAAATAAATCATCTCAGTCAGCAGAAGTGGTGCCTTTAATAAAGCATGTGCTTCTGAGTTTTTACCCTCGGTTCTATTGTGAGTCCTCATACAAAAAGTAAATGAGCTGAGCAAACCTTTCTGTAGTGACGAAGGTGGGATCTAAATCAGTTAAAGAAGGCTTAGTTTAAATATGCTGTTGTTTTTAGTGTTTGTGTTATTGTGGGAAGATGAAATGTGATTCTTTTTGGCTGTTTTATAATAGCAATAAAACCCAAGAGGACATCTTTATTGTGGATGCAAAATTGATATGTTGGGAGCACTGAAATAAGCATAATCACACTGAATGCTCTTCAGGAGCAGCTGCCATTTAATGTCTAAGTGTACAAAGTGCAACAAAACTACAGGGATCTGTAACAAGCTTGATATTAATCACAAGAGTTGGCACAGCAAAGGAGAAAGCATGGAAAGCTATGTTAAATGGGAAGTGCCAAAACAGGTGGGACAGCGGCGGGCCCTAACGAGCCAGCGTGTGAAAAGAGACACATTGTGTTGTCAATCATTTAATAAGAATAAAAATCTGCTCTCCTCCTCTCTCAAGTTCAAACTTACTTCCCGCAACAGACACATTACAAATAACTGGCAACGCAGTTCAGCCCGATTGTCCGACAGCAGTGGACATACTGTATAAAGGTAAATATCTTCATTTTGTCTATAGTAATCGAAAAACTATTTGGTTTACAGTAAAAAAATATGAGTTTTATACCTTTAAATTATACAGTATGTGATAGCAGTAGTAATTAATGATGGTATAAACAGAAACTAAAGAATGAAACTAACATTGCCAGGTTTTGCTTGGGAGCATTTATTAATAGAGAAAATGGTCTGTGTGATATAGAATTGATCAAGGGAATGAATGTGGGAGTCGAAACAAACCTGGCATAGATGGATGTATGTGGTGACAGATGGCCTCCTGGTTTTGTCTCCACACTCCTTTCATCTCTTCATTACACTGAGTGCAATGAAGGTCCCTGCCAAGAGATGCATAGGCTGACTCCTGCACTGCATGCACATCAATAAGGAGTAGTATTGCACGGAACCACACTGCATAACTTTCTCCTTCTAGTCAGTACCAACATCGCTGTGATTTTATGCATATACTGGTTGGGAGTTAAACATCTGTCTGTGACACATATAGAGGGGCTTACTGCTGTTTGAACTTAGTTCTAGACTGGGATTGAGCAGTTGCACCCAGATGGTCAAATTGCATACAGTGCTATCTGAGCAGAACAAAAAATACAAGAGATAAAGCTCAGGCAATGCCGTTGAGGAGAAACATATGCTCTGTGGTCTTAAACCTGTAATGTATGTGTGTGTGCGTGATGGTTTTTTTTGTTTAGTTTTGTTTTATTTTTGTTGTTGCCCTAACTTTAAAGTCTTGTATAGTAAACTATTAGTCTTCTAAAGCCAGAAGGTTCCATTTGCTTACTGTGGTCTTTCAAGGATTAATGAACTTTGTTTTGGGTAAATGCCTAAATTACTTTGCATTCAGTTTGGTCAGTAGCTGCAAATCAAATGTGGTGCTCATTCCCATCATCATCAAATCCACATCCCATAGTTTCCTGACTGGCCCGGCTTCTGTTTCGCTCAATCGATCATCAGCGGATGTTTTCCAGACCCAAATCTCAGAGCAAAAACTGAGCTTGCAAGATTTTGGCTGACTTCTGCAAGCCAGCTAAGCTGTACGGTATGTGTGTTAAGAACAAAACGGACCTGTGGGTCTTTATGGAGGGATGTTGTGTGACCAGAAGGTGATAGACTTACTGTAGTTCTGTACCACTCTGGATCACTAGGAGGATATACACCTCAGGTTGCTCACTAATGCAAAACATGTCTTAAGCGAAATTCTATATACTGTCTTCTGTAGCAAGGAGTTTCAGGAACTGATTTAATGATACAATCCATGAATTTTTTAGATACAACTTTACGTTTATAGAGG